CTCGATAACTGCCGGTCTGAATGTACTTGTAGTTTTTTTAACGGCATATATTTATTAGAAGCATTAAATTTAGTTTTTTCATATTTGATAGGTGGCCACCAAATTTCCTGCGGTAAATTGTCGATTTCTTGGCGAAAGTTGTTTTTGAGGGTTTGCGGCTTATTCACGTAAAGCTTTGACCCTTTGAGTAAGACCGCTTAAAGTAGTTTGGGCTGTCAGATCGGGCGATGAGCGTCTTCAAATAGAGCTATTTTTGCGCGACTTTTTATGTTTCTCTCTGAATTTAGTTTGAAGCCCTGGAACAACTTCATTTCGTAGTAGCAAGTTAAAAACATACGCTGCTATTTAAAAGGAAGTAAATATTGTTTTCTGATGTGTCCAATTTAATAGACAAATTCAATGAAAAGCTTAAATCACCAAAACAAATTTTAAAACAACTAAAAACTTCTGCTTATGTAAAGCAATGATGCTGGTAAATAAATATGTACATATATACTTAATATTAGATTACAACGATTTGGACTTCGTACATACATACATGTGTACATACCTTACACGATTTACGTCAACAGAGCGGGCAAACCACCTGTCAATGATTTTTTGCTATGACGCAACTATATAAACATAAACAACGCTTATCTCTACAAAGCCTTAGAGCGCGGTTACCCACGGACGTGTAGGGAGAGTGGCGTAGAAGTACGTAGAAAGATGTCAAGCGTGCTGTTGATAGTAAGAGAGAGAAGCAACGTCTACGTCACGGTCATGCGGTGGTGAGTTTTTGTTAACACGCAAATCCCGTCAGCTGACACGTTGTCCGTTTTTACGTTCGTGGGTAACTGCGCTTTTACTATAGTTGCGTTCCCCAACTGTTCTGGGTTACAACCTGTAAAATTGTCAAAAGGCAAAAGAAGCCAGAGAACCGGATACGGTTACGATTTCTGGTAAATACCTGTAAATTCTTGCAACTTCTTACGAGTTAGCGAACGCAACTTATATTTGGCTGCACAAGGGAAAAATAACATTTATAGGAGAAGCTTCTCGACCAATAGCATTTCGACACTGCCTTCCCGAATAATTAACATAATCGCATGAGAAAGACAGATCTACATTTCGTTACCTTAATTCACAAAGATCCTAACCAACAAATGTTTTATTTTACAGGGGTAGCAAAAAACGTTATAGAAATCAAATCATGCATACGTATAGGCGTTTTAAATCTTTGTTGTTTGGTACAAACACAGGGTTGCATTCCTCATATTTAAATAGCCAATATTGGCCATTTAAGTGAAAATGATTAGTGGAAGTTAATCAACAATCTCTACTTAAGTAGGCCATCTGAAATTGGGTCTAAGCCTAGTTTATACATGATTTTTTGAATCTACTAGTTATAGCCTAACCTAAACTACATATACAGTGTAAGCTGAAATATGAGCAACCAATTTTAGTGATGAACAAGGTGGCCGAATTCAGAGCCATATCAATACAATGATTGTACCATTCTGCTATGGTATGAAGGCCGTTAATGCATTTGAAGTGCGAAGTAAGCATCCAAACGGCGATGCACTGAATTCGATCTAGTAATGCGTTTCGGGATGAGCTTCGGCTCCTTTACGAATGCGTTTGGGAATACATAGTATATACATGTTGGCGTGGCGTAACTGTATGCTTTGTACGTACGTATGTTTGTATGCATTGCGATTGGTAGTCCGGAAGATTGCCCATGTTTCACTAAATTGGAAGGCTCCTACAATAACTGGATTTTTTTTTGATTCATTCATATTGCTAAATTTAAAATCATTTGGCAATTCATTACATTTTAATCCTTTGTAATACAAGCTACATTTATCTGCTTCGGTTTCGTAAGCAGGTAGATTAAATTCATTCTATTACGATTATTTTTTTAATCTACATTATTGACTAGGGCTGTGCGATTATTCGATTACTCGAGCAAGTTGGTTAATCAATTATTCGGTTAATCAATTATTCGGTTAATCAATTATTCGGTTAATCAATTACTCGAGTAATCAAGATTTTGATTACTCAAAACGATGATTAATCGAGTTACTTGAAATATGATTACTCAAAAAAAATAATTTTGCTCGTTAAAAGTTTGCTTTGGAAAATGCTTATTTTCGTTTTTACATTCTGTATATGAAAAAAATGTTTCGTGTTAATTTTGAAAACAGTAACGTTGATTTCAAAGTATCAAGGAACTTTAACTACTTAATACATATGTAAAGAGTTGAAATGTTGATTACTCATTTTACTCGAAATGTTGATTAATCATAAAGCCACTTACTCAAATATTTTATTTTTTTTTTTGGTTAATCAAAAATCTTGCTTACTCAAGTAACTGAACTTTTGAGTAATCATAATTTCCAATTAATCGAATAATTACTTTATGATTAATTAAAATTTTGAGTAATCGATTAATCGCACAGCCCTATTATTGACACACTTAATGTTGCTTTTCAAGTAATCGGGTAGGTTGCCATCTATAATATTCTTGATAAATTTCATTTTATAGTAAAATAGCTGTTGTTTAATCCTCTGCCAGTTAAGGGTAGATAGCATCTCTTTGATAGGCGTGTCATAGCGTTTAGTAAAACTGAATCTCATAGCTCGGTTTTGTTGTTTCGGCAATTTATAAATCTGACTATCTCTCATTATGAAAAATATGGTTGGACAGTAATGGAACGAGGTTCAATTATAGATCTATATACCACGGCCTTGTACCTTTTACTTATGTACCCTTTGTACCCTTTACTTACTGTGATATGGTCTAATAGAAATGAATATTCCAAATATAAAATGAATGAAGAAATGCAAGTATGTACAAATCGTACTCTAAATCAAAAACAGTCACAACTCGAAAATTTTCAAAATCATTTTTTTTTTCCATAAAAGAGTTGACGGGCCCTATTTCTATCGTCCGCCAAAATTTCTTCAAAAGTCAGAAGCTTTTAAAAACTACCTAGTTTTGGTGTTCATATATCCAAAAAACTTGCAAAGTAGGGGAAATTGAGAGAACAAAATTACAGTTCTCTAGGAGGGGAAGTAATAAGGAGTTTTTTTATGGGGCTTTTGTAGTAGAAGAAGTAGTTTGTAGAAATACTGTTTTATAAGGAAGTTGCTACGAATAAACCACAAATTTATCAACTTTTCCTGAAACTTGCAAATTGTTACTGGGTTTGCGTTCAAATTCTCAGAAATGAAGTTGCTGGAGAGTTGCTGGCAGAGTTACTGGATAATTTTTACTGAACAAACCTATTGTTATCTGCTTTAACTGGAAAAACATTACTAAGACTGGCTGTCGAGGAATGAAACCGATTCAAAATACCGTTTCGGTTTCGGTTTTGCAAGTGTTTCGGTTTCGGGTTTGGTTTCGTTCTTCAAAATTTGTTTCGGTTTCGGTTACGTTCCGGTTTCGGTTTTGGAATAAAAAAATGAAAGTTTTGACAAAAAAGTCATCACCTGATACACAGCAACAACGTCATCACCAGATTCACTAAAATGTTTCCTTTTTGCTGTGAAATTGAAGATGTATGAAAACTAAAATATAATTGTTTTTTTCGTCAAATATATACTAAATAATTATGAAACTTTATCCACCCATTCATTTTTACTACTTTACTTTACTACTAGACATGTGAAAATGAAAATCAAAACGACTTCTTCCAAATAACCGATGCCAGATCGGAGATTTAATTTATTAGGCATCTTTTTAGTAGCTTTTTGCGAAAAGTTACTTTGCCAAAGTTACTACTTAACAAGAATTTTAGCAAAATACAGCTGATTTTGGTTAAATAAATCATTTATTTCAAAGAAATTTTTATTTATTTTGGAGGTAATTGTAATTGTGAAAAGTGAAGTAAAACGAAGTAAAATGAAGTGACGAAGTGGAGGCTTCTAAAGTGAAGTGAAACACTTCGCCATGAATTGTAGCACATTTATCAGTGTTGGCATAAGTCCCGATATATAAGAATTAAAAGTAAGGCTATCCACGTACTAGTCAACAAATTTGTCATGCAAGTAATTTTTTGTGAAACCGCACAGTTATGCTACTGAAGAAAAAAAATTTTGGTTGCTAGATCATGCAGCTGATTTTTATAAATTTCTGGAAACCGATTGAAACCGGTTTCGGTTTCGTTCCTTTTCTGGTCAAGATAACGGTTACGGTTTGGGTTTCGGTTTCCTTCCTTGGTTTTTGTTTGTAATAGGGCAGCAACAAATGCAGTAAAATTATAAGCTTGTGGAAATAATACGTCGACACATTGTAAAGAGTATATCGTTATTACATCGAGTATGGAAAAGGCGTATCTCTCATCGTCGCCAAAATGCAAAAAAAGGCATAACTAACTAAAGTTGTTTATTGCATAAAATGATATAGCGATAAAACACATCAACCAAAAAGTGATTTTTCTCAGTGACGATACGATACTATACTAACGATATACAAATTTAAACTAGTGCCTGGCAAATATAACAGATGGATTAGTCTCTGACAAGTCATTTCTGTTTGGACTTTATTTTTTTTTTGACATTTTTAGAGTACAAAATAAACAGCAAAATAAACACAGCTTGTGGCAAGGCGAATTTATATAAGGTGGTGTTGTTTCATCAGCTGTGAGTAGCGTTTCATTGTTAAAATTTTGAATTTCGTTAGTGAGAGAATGAGAACGTGAGAGTGTTTGCATTTTCTGCCGCCCTTTTTCATTCGGGGAAGAATAGCTGAATTTTGACAATGGCCCGCTAAAAGCAAACACAAAATACAAGTAATTGTTGTATTTGTTCAATCGATACCACCTTATATGTATGTATTCGCCTTGGCTTGTGGGCTTTTTTTTTACTTTTCAATGCGCCTTTCATAACTAATTATCACTCATTCATTAATTGTAACAATTTATATTTGTTTTGCATTGTAACTCAATATCCTCTCTTCCCTCTCTCTTTTTTCATGCCACCCTATCTGCACCTACTATTGCTATTGTATCGTGTAGTGCTCAAAGAGGAACCCGATGACTTGGCACACTTGACACCTGCGGCTGTTGACGCTTGCATGCGCCTCGATGATACCGCTCCATTTTGCGGCGAGATGTTGCTGGGCTTGTGCTCTTATACTTACGGTGGATTTTTGCCTGATGACTACAGCTCACTTGATTCAACTACAAATTCCTCTTCTCCAGACTCTCCGAAGCACAGCACCAGCAGTGCTAACGGCAACGGCAGCAACAACGGTGCCCTTAACAGCAATACAAATAATATTGGCAATAACAAAAGTGGCTTTAGCAGTCCAACGCATCAGCAGAATTCTATAAGCAGCAGTTTGAACGCTGCCGCATTGCACAATAGTAACAATGGCAGCAATATTGGCAACCACAATTGCAACAAACCGGTCGTGCGCGTTGATCCATTCATCAATTATCGAGAAGAATCGAATGACACAAACTGCTCACAGCATTTACTCTCGCCCAGTGTGGCTTCGAAGGTGGGTTTTAAGTAATACTTATTTATGTATATATGAAAAGCAAAAGCTCAAAGCTATCACTGTGTAAATCTAACATCATTTTTTGCTTTCATTTTGTTTCATCCCAATATTAGAGTCCCGAAGCGAGCAGCCTGCCATCATTGTGCAGTCCCAACTCGCTGAGTCAGGATGATGGATTTGCATTTATGACAATGAGCGTTGATGAGGAAATCGACATGAGCATGCGCGCTCCATATATACCAATGAACGAGCAAGAGGATTTGCCTCTCCTTACTGCCGACGATCTAATGTGGTGCGCCAGTAATGGATTGGGCAGCGAAGAGTTGAGCAACCAAAAAGAAGTTGATGCAACGTTGCAGCAACTACAGTTGCAACAGCAACACTCGTGCGAAGGCAATGCCAACCTGTTGACAAGCTATAATGATGCCCAACATATCACTCAATCACATTTCAATTCGTTGTGCTCCTCACCCGCCTCGACCGTCTCGTCGCTTTCGCCATCCCCGATGAGTCAGCAACAGCAGCACCGGCAGCAGCAGCACCAACAACAACAGCACCAACAACAACAGCACCAACAACAACAGCAACAGCAACAGGACACGAATTGTGTTTACAGCACAGACACTAGCGAATTGGCTGCGCTGTTATGCGGCTCCGGTAATGGCACATTATCGATTCTGAATAATAGTTGTGGTGGTGGTAGTAGTGGTGTCACCGAAGATTCCGACGGTGGTTTGCAACCACAGCAGCAGCAATCGCATTGTGGTGATTTTCGTTTGCAGCAACTGCAGCGGGAGTTGGCAGCTGAACAGCAAGGAGAACAACAGCGCCAAATGCAGTTGCTCGGCTTGACTATCGATTGCAAGAAGGAGAATTCCCTGTCGCCGAACTTGTGTGATTCCATTGAGGATGCATTTGATAATGTCTACAGCAAGGATTGTAAGTTTAAGCAATTGTGGGCCACATACTTCTTGTATTTTGCAAATAATCAATGATAATGCTCTTGTCCCGAATAAGTACTGAATAGAAATGTGTAAGCCTCTGTGGAAATTCGTTGCAATAACCGAATACTTAGTTTTGTATGTATGCCTGTTTTGCTTGTTCAGTAGAGACATAATATAACACACCTGATCTCTTTGTACGCGGTTAAGAGGGCTATTAGAAAATTCGTGAAAGAAAACAGAGTAAGAAAGTGACATTTTCCAACGAACTTACTTTCCGAATCGCAAATAAAACTCGCTATGACCAAGAATATTGGCGTCCTTTTCTCCTTTCTGTTCAAAACAGATAACGGAATATTCGAAGGTTACCTATACCTATTTTTCCGAGGATAAAGTAGAATGTGGTATATAGTACATATAAATAAGCAAAAATTAAAGATCATTTCTCTAAACAAAATTTTTGAATTAGCACAAAATTTCACGAAGGATATTTGTGGAGCATGGCTTGCGAGTCACATATTTTTTATTTTAGTTTAAAAAGTCACTTATAAAATTTATGAAAAGTGCAAAATAATATACAAGACACTTAAAATTTTCATGAATATTTGATTTATTACAGTTTGAATATCGGGTTTATTACAGTTTGACACTTATCGAACTATTATTTTGTTTTTCACGCGTCCAAGATTGCCTCTTTCAATTCTTATTCCTTGAACCTCTCTTGTTTCTTGAAAATAGTCCAACAGTCGCACTCAAATTTGGTCTATTTCCTGACCATTTCAATGTTCTTATATCCTTTCGACGCAAATATCCCTTTACCTGTTTTGAACAGAAAGGATAAAAGGGCTTCAATATTTTTGGTAATGTTGTTATTTAACAATAAAAGTGTTCCTTCAGATCTTTGCCCGATCGCATGGCGCAGAGGCATCTTGAAAAATGAGATCGTCTAAAAAAACGGATCTAAATAGTCCGTAGTAGTTATGATATCAATGTGTCCAGGAATGCTTAAGCTTCCGTTAATGGATGTCAATTTATCAGTATCGAAGTACGAAATTCCATCGCAAACAATATGGCTTGGTGGAAACTTGTATCGCAACTAATGAGAATACACTGGGCTTTTACTACTTCTGATATTTATCGGACCACGAATACCAATACATATCTTATCTTTAACAAAACATTCATCGATCATACAGCCACTTGAGCGACAAACCCGGAATGTTGAAAGTTATGCAATTGTTTTATATTTTCCTCTGTGAGAGCAAGTTAAAAGGCAAAGAGAATAAAATGTATGCATGTGTGTATGTATATTTAATTCCATCAACTCATAGCAGAGCTTTACTCTTCTATTCCATCTGCCACTGCTGTTCCTTCCCCGCTCTTGCTTTTGGTCGATTGATTTCATTGAAGCAGTCTCAACGTCTAGCTCGCCTTATCAGAAGATCGATTATGCCTTGATAACTATACTATACGTAGATACATACATACATACATACATATGCGTCTCAAGCAAAACATTGTTCGTGTAGTATTTGAGTTTTTCTACAATGGACGCTTTTAAAATTTTCTTCTCTTCGACATGTGAGTATTGCTTGTCCGAAAATGTTACATTTTGTGCTCTTACTTAGCCAAGAATTTCTCATTCAATTTCCATTTACCATTTCTACATTCATTCGCACAATTTGTTTTATATACTGCACGTATATACGTATGTAGGTGAAAAGCAAGACTTTTATTTCGTATTGTTTTTGTTTTTTCATTAACTCATACTCGCTTAACTGATGGATTTTTTGTACGAGATTCTGTGTCCATTAAATTTCACGAATTTTAAGAAGAGAGGTGCTCACTACCATCAGTGCTTTCGGATATGTTCAATACATTTACTATATACCAGGGGCGTAGGAGTTATACGTTTTATCAGCATTTTCCATAAATCCGTTCCCTTTTGATAATAGTTGCTGTACAACATTTATTATTACGTTGTCTGATAATCAGGGCCGAACAGTTTAAGCTTTTCCTTATTTTGCTTATTCAGGGTTTCCAAGCTTAATTTTAACGATCATGCTTATTTTGGTTATTTCAATAAATAAAGTGAAGTACGGACCTTTTAAGAAAATGGTCAATAAATAAATTGCTATTATTTCGTTGGTGTGAATAGTAGTGTCCAAGGAGTTTTGACATCTGATATTTTACAGCATGCTGTCTCACTTTTACCTTCCGAAATAATGGAACGGGCATATATTTCTGTTGAAAACAAGGGTGCCTTGTACTCTACTACTTGTTATAGATTTGGTTTTTATAAACCCGTAACTTCAATTGAATTTGTGCTTCGATACAAAAATTTAAAACCAATGGTCTGTTTCTACGGGAAAGTATTGGTGTTATTGAAGAGATTAAAAACCATTTAACTCAAATGGAGAATAACTAATATTTAAAAAAATTAAAACGATCAGCGCAGATCTCTGTTATTTGAGAATATCAAGCAGCACTTGATTGTCCACTGCAATTTTTCAATCCTTAAAATAAACTGAATAAAAAACCAAACATTAAACTGTACAGTAAATTCTGTTTTGCGAGCATACTTGCCATCATATTTACCAATATTTTAGTGCTTATCTACAAGCTTAAAATGAATTTTTCTTGCTTATTTTCTTCGGCCCTCTTCATAAATATCCTTATTTTATCTTACAACGTTTATAAAATAATAGATAATTGGCAACGGAAAAAAACTTCTCCTGCATAACAGATGTCTGGGCAACGTTAAAGATAGACGTCCGGATATAACTCTTATTGGCGAAACAAAAAATATTTCTCATCTAATACATCATCTACTTAACAATGAAACAACGTTTCGCTTCATTTCGGAATTCGAGAATCATGTATTTTCCTAATGCTAAAGAAATTTGGAAGAAATCCTTTAAGTGGCCGTCAAAAATCAAAGAAATCAAAAGAAGTATTTTTCTAGTTCCAGTCGGTATTAAAACAGAATTTATATGCATTCAAACAAACAGTTATGTGTGTGTGCATTTACATACTTATAAATACTGTACATAGTACGCACTATGTGCTTAGATTACATTTCTTCATACAATTCAAAGCTTTACTTCAGAAACGCAACGAATTTCCAACTATTCTACACATTTCGCAAAAGTAAATATTTACATTAGACTGCATCACTCCCCCATACAAAAAAAAAAAAAGATCGATACTTTGGAATACCACTGGAATTATAAAATCTATTATATTCTAAGACGTCCACTAAAATATTTCGGAAAAATATTAAGATTTACGTGAGATGGACCGTTTTGAAAATACCTCCCAAAATGGAGTTTTTTATATCAATAAAAATAGTTTCTTAAAATTTGTTTTTTGACAAGACGGTTTAAACTTAAAAAATTTGCATAAAAATAATTTTAAAAAGTTTAAACAAATTTTGAACAGAATCGTAATAATGAGATTTTTGATGCTGTGTTTTAACTTTTTCCAAAGATTGGTATAAGAAAAACTTGAATAACTGCACATTAACTTCCGATTTAGTCTTTTTTTTCATTGGAGAGGTCTTTTCTGACCCTTTTAGTTTCTTTGCTAATAAACTCATTCAAAGGATGAAAGGGAAAGGTAGGATGAACGAACGTCATTCAAAGTTGAATTAAGACGCGTTGTTATTTGAAAAAAAAAAAAAAAAAATAATAAAAATTGCACAGAAATAAAAATGGCGGGAAAATACCTTTCTTCTGAGATCCCATAAGTCTAAATAAGAATATTTTTGGCCCAGTTATTCAAGTTTTTCGTAAATCAATCTTTGAAAATCGTAAAAAAACGGCATACAAAATTTCATTATTACGATTTCCCGGCGGAAAAACCGCATTTTTTTTTTTGGTGATGCAGTCTAATGTACATACATATGTAGCTGTTAGACGTGGCAAGTGCAAGTCCTTTTGAAATGTCTGTCACACTCAAGAATTTGCATAAGTGATTGCCTTATGCCTTGCATGTAAAGTGACATTGGAGAACAGTTTTTATTTCTGAAAATTGACCATTCACGTACTACTTTTGGTCTGTTTACACGGTGAATGCAGAAGTTTCCTCTTTTAACTGTGTTACCAAACATTTTTATGATTAAGACAAAATTAGTGGCCTGACAAATTTAACAGAAACACTCTAATGCACACAATACAGCAAAGAAATGGTCAAATGCATCAATATTTAAATGGTTGATATCAAAAAAATTAATTACAAGTATTTTTTACATATGATGCAAAAATCGCGTCACATGGCAACACTATATTGATTGGACAGCACTTGCAGCAAAAATAAAATTGCTGGTATAGCACAAGCAGGTTGAAATTATTTTTCGAAAGTGATTTCAATTGCAGTTAGTAATAATATTAATAGATTGGCGCTTACACATATGTTAGTGTTTGGCCGAGCTTCTTCTCCAATTTGTGGCGTGCGCCTTGATGGTGTCACACAAAGAGGAGTTTAACGCCAAATTCGAATGGCGATGGTATTTTTATAAGAAGCTATTTTTCATGACAGAAATACACTCGGCGGTTTACCATTGCCTGCCGAGGGACGGCCGCTGTTAAGAAAATACCTTCTTTCTATGTGAAAGCCTTTTCTGCAAATCTGCAGAAAGCAGACTTTCGATTTCGCATTTTGACAGCAAAATGTGTAGAAAGAGCGCTTGCATTGCCACGTCCAGCACCACTTTAAGGCAAATTATTTTATTTCAATTCTAACTGCTTATTCTTATCTTTCTATCTCCACCTATTCATTCGTCCTGTAGCAACAAATCTTGACTGCTGGAATGAGTTGCTGCAAATTAATGTTAGTGACACTTCGTCTTCGGCAGCGCCCTCCCCAACATCTTCGTCAAACTCGCCGCAGAACCAACAGAAACAGCAACAACAACAGCCACCGACGCTGGACGATTGCAAGCCGCATTTGCAGCTGGAACAGCAATTGCCGCCACAACACCAGCAACAGCAACAGCAACAGCAACACAATATAATTTTGAATGCAGTGCCATTGATAACCATACAAAACAATAAGAATATTTTATTGCAACAACAACAACATCATCTACATAACGTCAACAATAAAATGATAATTAACGACGAAATGTTGCCGGCGAATCGCGGTGGTAATAAAATCACAACAATTAAATTGGTGAACGCCCAAGCAACGGCAGCAGCAGCAGCAGGGACGCCGGTAGATGGAACTCCATTGACTGCCAGTATTGGTACGACCACCATTCGGTTGATTGATGGCAAGCACCAGCAGGAGCAACAATTGCTGCTACAAAGACAACAACAGCAAATGCGTTTGCCAAATGCAACAAAGGGCATAATATCACAACAACAACAGAACCAACAGTCGCATAAAAGACATTTGGTGAGCAATTTGAGCAGCACCCAACTGGAAACGAAGCGCATGAAGAGCACTGGCCCAGGCGCAGCTGTCGGAACTTCAGCAATAGAGCTGCACTCTGTGCCACAGCTATTGCAACAACTAGTGGCACCCGTGCAGTCGCAGCAGCTGAAGGAGCAACAACAAAAACAGCAGCAGCAGCAGCTACAATATATACGCAAATTGAATGGCGGAAGCGCACGTTGGCCAATGACCGCCGATACAAACGCAGCACTAAACGCAACACAGCAGCAGCAACAATCGAATTCAGTGCTGAAGAATTTGCTGATTAGCGGTTGTGACGTAAGTGCGGGCTACTGTCTGGTACCAGTGCGGCCCAAAAAGTTGGCAAAGGCATAAGCAGTGAGTGCGCATGGGGAAGGCGCGGCTGGAATGGTGCAAAGACACCGCGTCAGCTCACTGCCTTCCCTCATAGCCGCTTTAGCACTTTGGCTTGGCATTTGGCACATAGTATTTTGAACATACATTTGCCAAGCGCAACAACTGACTACAATTATTTAGTGATGCACATGGAAACACACAAAGCAATTTAAGCAAGATGAAAAAGCTATTTCAATATTTCGGTTTTCCTAATTTTTGTGTTCGGAATTATTTCAAGCACAAGCACAATACATATATTTAGACATTAAATTTTTAGTTGTATAATTTTGTAAATGGATCGATTTTCTGATTAATATAAACATACTCTTCGTTAACTTTTTATTTTTAACGCCGTAAGTTATGCTTTATTTAGGATTGTGTAATACAATTTAATTGCGATTATATACAAACATATTATTAAAGTTAAATTTAAGATTTAGTACTAGTCGAAAAGCTCTACGCATTGCGGGGAGAAAGAAGTGGATAACCCGAGGGAGGGAGATAGTGAGATTGCAATACGAGTACCACACGAATTTTATAGTTATTGTTACCGCAATATACATACATAGCACGCACACACCCTCGCACACACACAAACAATCACAGACACATGCTTATATGTATTTCACGAAATTGCAATCGATTATTCTCTGTTGTTTTTACACCGATTTTATAGTTCAGCTTTAAGTTGACCAAAAAGGATATTATTTTTAGCAGAAAAGTGTAGAAGACTTAAAAGTAAAGTTGTTAAATTTGTTAATCGGATACTGTAAATAAATATTTTAGTTATGAAATAAGCGAGTGAAAATAAGAGATAGAATCAAATAAAAATTATTGGCCAAGCAAAAAAAGAAAAATAAAACC